TTTCGAAAAACAAAATGTGTGAAAGAAAGCAAAAAAAAAAAAAAGCAAAAAACAAAGACGGGGTAAATTTAAGTCTTTGATAGTTGGACAAGTAAAAAGAAAGCTGACAAGAAAAAAAGATTGGGGTTCCAGGGCCAAAAAAAAAGGACCGGCCGCTAATAAACTTTGAGGGTCGGTCATAAATAAAAAAATGTTCCTGAAAAGAAAAAATTAAAAAGGTTTAAAAGAAAAAAGGAGAAAAGGTAGAGATTGATCGGGTTTGTGGGGCTGTTATAAAAAGATTCATGCTGAATCAGTGGTTCCAAAAGGCAATTTGGGGAAGCAATCCAAAATTAAAAAAAACTCAGGTTTTTTCTTGTCGAAGGTTTAATGCTTAATTAATTTTGTTGTAAAAATTGGAAAAAGTGCTTTTTTAAAACAAAAAAAAAAAGAAAGAAAAAAAAAAAGTGGCCACAAAGTTTTGTTGTCTTCCCCAGGACTTTGAATTTTCAAAAATAAAGATTTAGAAAGTGTTTTTTGCGTTAAAATGTTTGTGCACACGGGGTCATAAAAGAAGATAATGATGTGAAAAAAGGCAAGGTCTGTTTGGGTGTCTTTGTTTTAAAAAAAAAGAAAAGAAAAATGTGCACCCCGCCAGACGATTGTTAAGCAAAAACGAGAGTGGCCAAAACTCCGTTGTAAATTTCCCAACTTCCAGTTTTTGTTAAAGTGGATGGCCTTGGTTCTTTTGCGAGCTTTTCTTCCCCTCCCTCCTCCCTCTTTTTTGTTTCCCCTTTTTCCTTGGGGACGCTTGAAAAAAGTGGCCAAAACGTCTGGTTGCAGGCGTGCTCTGATTTTTTTTTGCAAGCGAGGAAGGTTTTGTGTGGTGTACAGTCCCCGTTGTTTGGATGTGTGGGTCGTAATAAAAGAAGGTTGCCTCGGGTTCAAGAAGTAAAAGAAGGAAAAAAGCTGTTTTTCCCCCCTTTTTTGCCAAGGTTTTTTGAAAATCCCTGGTAAGTCGTTGTAAAACCCACCGCACGGAAATTAAAATGAAAAATTTGAATTGTTCAAAAGCGTGGCACGTTGTTTAGGCGTTTGCCTGTAAGAAAACTCGGACGTGTGTTGCCAAGAAAAAATGAAAAAGCAAGTTCAGGGAAAAAATGTGTTTGCCTTGGAATTTTCAGAAAAAAAAGAAAGAGAGACAAGCCTGTTGCGAAACAAAAAAAAAGAAAACAAGGAAAAAAAAAGGGGTTTAAAAGGAAAGGTATGTTTTCCGGCTTTGTTTCCAACAACTTGTCAAGTTGGGGAAGTTTGACTGAAAAAAAAAAAAGGAACCCACATTAAAAGATCCAGGGAAATTTTATTTCCAGGCTGTTCTAGTTGTTCGTTTGTTCTGTGGAGTGGACAAAAGTGGTAAAAAAAAAATTTTTAAAAGTGGAAGTTTTAAACCCGGGCGCAAACAAAAAAAAAAAAGCCCTTAAAAAGAAAAGAAAGCTCCAAAAAAAAAAAATCAGGCCCAAAAGCCTGGTTTATTTTTGGCCGGAACGTTCAAGGAAAGAAAGACAAGAAAAGAAAGGGCACCGATTGCCCAGACCCAAGGAAAGAAGGGCTGTTGTTTCCTTTTTGGTTAACAAAAACTTTTTTTGCCTTGTGTGCCTTGCCTCTTTTGGGTGTTGGGCCAAACCTCGCCCCCGAGAACCCACAAGGCGCCTTGCTGAAGGAATGGGACGTAAAAAAAAGCAAGTGGTTTGATTTTCCACCTTCCAGGAAACGGTTGCGAACAAAGGAAGCAAAAAAAAGAAAAGAAGAGAAAAGAAAGAAAAGAAAAAAAAGAAAAGAACCCCGTTTGCAAAGAAATTAAAAATAAAAGAGTTTTCTGGAAAGACCAAAAAAGCACAAAGAAAGTTTAAAAAAGAAAGAAACGGCAAAAGAAAAAAATTTTTTTGAGTTGCCACAAGCAAAAAAAGAGGAAAAAAAAACCAAAAGCAGTCCAGGAAAAAAAAATCTTGTCCAGGGGAGAAAAGAGAGGAAAAAAAGCCAAATTTTTTTTTTCCCGGTGGTTCCCTGGGAAGGTTTAAGAAAGCCCCCAGTTTCCGGTGCCCCTGTTTCGCGCCTCTGCATTTTTTTTGTGTTTGGTGTGTGCCGGAGGTAGAGCCTGGAAACTCGTGGAAAAAGAAGTGCCGACCCACTTAAAATTTATTCTTTTTCGTTTTTCTTCAGTTACTCTTGAAAAAAGTCCTGGTCTGTTGTTTGTTGTTTTGTGTTTTCTTTTGTGTTTGAAGAAAGATCGTTTGCAACCGAAAAAAAAAACTGTTACAAAATTGAAAAAAAAAAGGAAGTGGAAATTTCCCAAAAAAAAAAAAGCCCCTTTCGATCCGTCCCCAGGAGGCTATATTCCCTTGTCCCTTGAAAAGAAGCCTGATAGTAAGAAAAAAAAAAGACTTCGCTTTCGTCTTTTCTCGTAAAAAACAGGGGGGTGGTATTATTGCCTTTTTGGATTGAACACCTAAGTGGAATTAGACCCTCATTTTGGGACATTTAAAAAAAAAAAAAAAAGTTGAAGAAAAATGGTTTTCTGTCCAAGCAGAACCACAAAATTTTCATGGGGCAAAATTTTTTAAAAGCCGGTAGTGTTTGTAGGGAAACCTTGTTGGCTCGTTGTACCAACTAAAACAGGTCAAAAGAAAAAAAAAAAAGAAAAAAAGCAGGAGCAAAAAGCTGTTTTGAAAAAAAAGATAAAAAGGGGGACGACCCAAGGAAACCTTTTCAGAGAAGTGAAGGGTGCTGTTGTTCCAAAACCCCCTCGGCTGAAAAAAGGACGCTGAGGTTCAGAAAGCGGTTGTGGGTGAACTGGCCGCCCGAAAAAGGCCCCAAACCCCCAAAACAAAGAAAAAAGCAAAACTGAAAAAAAGATGTTTTTAAAAAAAAGGCCGTTTGTTTCTTGTTTAAAAAAGACAAAAAAAAAAACAAAAAAAAAAGCGTTTTTGTGGTGGACAGAAAAGTTAAAAAAAGAATTCAAGAAACAGTTGAAAAAAACTGCTTTCAAGAAGAGAATGACACAAAACAAATTGCTTGGTGAGTTTGCAGATGTCAAAAAAGTTGCTGTAATGCATTGGGGTGAATGTCCCTGGCTGTAGAAATCCAAGTGTCTTTTTTTCCAAAGTGTGATGAAAAAAGTGTGGAAAGAGAGGAGAAGTTGAGAAGTAAGTTGAGCAGTGAGATAGTGAAAACAAAGAGAAAAATCTAATATAAAAAAAAAAAATGTTAGTGTGTTGTTTAAACCCCCACCGTTTGCCAAAGTTTTTCCCCCCAACCGCCATTTTTTTTTTTTTTTTGCCCGCAAAGGAAAAAAAGGGCAAAATGAGTTTGAGAGAGAAAATCCGATTTTTTTCCTCGCTTGGTTGTTCTTTTCCAAAAAAGAGGGGGGTTCAAGTCCCCGTCGTTTTTTGAAAAAACCCCAGCTGAAAGTGCGGGAAAAAGAAAAAAAAAACTTGGAAATTTTTGCCCCGTAAACAAAGTGTGAAATCTTTTTTGAACTTAAGTTTTTAAAAAAAAAAAAAAATATAAATTAGTCCTGGTTAAAGCGTTATAAAAAAAAAAGCTATTGCGATAGATGGTAGGATTTATATTCCGATATGTATAAGAAGGTTTGTGGCTGAAATATAAGTCTATAATTCGTAATATGTACTGTGATGATGCTTAATCTTTAACAGAGTTGTAAAAAAAAAAAAAAAAAAAAAGGGTCCAAAAAATTTTACCCACTGTACAAACCTGGCGGTTGAAATGAAACTGTAAAAAGGGATTTTTTTTTTCGAGAAGGATAAATTTTTTTGCCTAAATATTGCAATTTTGTTGGTCTAAGAAAAAAAAAAGAAAAAAAAAAACGCCTAAAATTCTCTAAAAAAGCTTGAAGTCTCCTTGTTCAAAGAAGTCAAAAACTTGCTAGGGCAAAAGAAAAACTTAGAAGGGAAAAAAGGAAGCCTGTGCACTGTAAATTCCCAGGCTTGCACAAAATTTAAACCATTTGATGTTAAAAAAACAAAGCTTGCTCCCTTCTTTCCACCGACGACCTCACTGCCGCAAAACACAAAAAAAATCGCTTGTTAACTCTATGTCCAGTGTGGGAAATGGACACCGTATCATGGATGTTTTTTACTTCAGTTGGTAACCCCACCAATGGATTTCTTTTGTCAAAAATTTCTGGGGTTGTTCTGAAAAAAAAAAAAAAAAAACAAAAAGAAAACCCCACACCAAATTTTCCCCAAAAGGCCCTAACAAAAGTTGAGTTTTGTTCCTCAAAGGAAAAGCTTTGAAAAACGGTGAACCAAAAAGCAGGCCACTTGGACAACCAAACAGACAGCAGTGGAGGGGTTTTATACTCATGTGGCGGTTGTTGG